AGTGAATAAAAATTATATATAAAGAAAATATAAAACAATATCATTTTTTCTAATAAAAAAACAATAAGTAAAGGTATAGCTTATATTAGAATGCTTTGCTTTTGAACACTTTGCTAATACAATGGTGCTTGCAAATACAACAGCTTTAAGTAATGTACAGTACTTGGTTAACAATGAGTGGCTGTAAGAGAAAAATGTCTTGGATAATGATGCAGGCTTTGGTTAACGACACTTGATTATGTGCTTAATTTAGTTAATGTGTTTCCATTCATTAGCTGACACAGAGATATTTTTTGTCCTGCATGACAGTAAACCTTTATCTAATCTTGCATTTAGCCATGCATGGAGGACACTGTTGAACAGAGAATAGCCATGTGTCATATCAGTGAAGCTCAAATATGTTTGACCATCAGAACTGTTTACATTTTTTGATGATTGTATCTTTACTTGTAGAGTACTGTGCTTGAATTTATGTGGATATAAATGCAGTTTATGATAAAAATGAGTATTTAAGCATTTATTTTTTTGTATGTTTATTCAAATAGACAATAAATCATACATATAACCCTAATTCAAAATAGTCAGTCTCATGTCACTGTTTGCCATCAACCAGCAAAATTAAATCTCATCTGTATACACACACAATACTGTATGTCTTTGAAAGTACTTGCAATTTTTAATAAATACATGTTTTTTAATGTTGGTTAAGTGTGATTTCTCTCCCATATAACTTTCCCTGTGTGAAATCAAACTTAACCAACACTATTGTCTATGTAATAATCAGGCTATAATTCTGCCAATTTAAATAATTAGTACAAAGTAATTTGTTACTAGAGGTAGACATTAGGCAACATCTCTTAACTAAATTAATAATTATAATTTTAGTAATTTATTAAATAATTTAGAACCATCTGGAAGAAAAGAACTGACCTGGGGCAGGGCTTGAACCTGCAGCCTCTGCTTGCCATGCAGTGCACTTGCCAGTTGCACCACCCAGACCCCAAACAAGCCTTCACTTCGAGATGTATTTAAATTTGGATATAACTTTACATAGTTTATCATGGCACCGGCTGGGGACGAATCCTATGCCCATGGCCTAAGAACAACACCACCATGGCACTCAGCCAGCTAAAGTTTTACCTGGCAAGATATATATTAGTAGAATTATAGCCCAATTATTTAGGTGATCATTTGGTGATGTTTATATATATTTATTGGGCTTTGTTTGCATTGTTTGTTATACTTATATATATCAACTAGCCGTTACCTGCAACTTCGCCCGCGAAGGTTTTGCAAGCAAACCCCATTTATATTCAGTATTTCAACAACCATAGTAATTATTACATAACACCTACCGCTGAGAATGATGAGAATTGCTGAGAATCAAATGAACTGTTTTCAATTTGTTCAATTTTCTGGAATGTTTACAATCATTCTATAAATAGAACCAATATGCAATAACAAATTTGAATTTAAAATGGTTCGAACATTTGGTTAAAAAATCGAAATATATAAAAATATTTATAACAATGTCTGAAATGTTATCCATTTAATACACCTACGTACTCAATGAAGACTAAACATAGTTGAAAACAAAAAATTGCATCTAAAATAGTACAGTAGAAGCCATTCTTTCAGTTAAGCCTTAATGCTCTCCCTCTCCCATGGGAGAATTTCGAAAAGTCCCTTCTTAGTGTGCATTCTCATGGCATACCCTAACTGTGTACCAAATTTCACCTCTTTAGGTTCAGTGGTTTGCTCTGGGCAATGATGAATCAGTGACTCAGTCAATCAGTCAGTCAGTCAGGACAAGTAATTTTATATATTTAGATAAATTAATAAATTAATGTTACACCTTTGTCAGGATTAGATGTTAGTTACACAATTCTAAATTTTATATACATATAAAAATGAGTTAGTGACACTGAATCAGTGATACAAAAGTATTAGTACTGATCTCAGTGCCATCTATTGTTTACTTTTTAACTAATTTTTAAAAAATATTGTTTATCAATATTATGTAGAGAGCCCTATTTCTTCAGAGCCAGGACAATTTACTCTTTTTGCCTTCTCTCTGGGCATACCTGGAGAAAAGGCTGAAATTTCTATTTTGCTTTTAGTGAGACTGGCACTCCTCCCCAGAAATTATGGGAGCTATTATATGCTGTGTTAATTGTGTTTCTACAGATTTGTATATCGTACACCTTTCCTTCAGCTTGTTAATACGATTGAATAAACATTACTACATTCACTTTACAACTCATCATCAAAAGTTTTAACTGCTTCCTCCTTGGTGCATAACTTTTTGTCAACAAGTATATGAATATTCAACAACAAGTATTTGAACATACAGTCAAACCTCTCTAATATGACATCCTCTTTATTCCAACTTCTTGAAACACTTTTCATTAACTCCATAATCCTACACTCCTGTACTCTGATTTCTGACACTATTTCATATATGAATAGTATAATAGGTAAAATAATATATCCTCTCTAATCTGACAATCACTTAGGGACTGTACGAAATAATCATATAAAAAAGCCACAGAGAGTTGACAACTTTCTGTGGCTTTTTTACAATATTAACCCCATTAAGCTAATGAGGTTATTTACTCTATCAGACTTGTTTCTATCAATCTGGTTTACAGCAATTATCAACAGATACCAAGTAGAACAAGCAGAAATGTTAGGGTTTGAAGAAAACAGTTGCAACAGAAAATTATTCATCAGATTAAGAAAATAATTGATTGCAACAATCTTCTGATGTAATGAATGAAGTTAATGAGACAAAAATGGAAGGAGAGGAAAAGGGGAAAAAAGAATTAAAAACCTATAGTGAAGCATTAAAATTAATAAATAAACTTTTTTGTTTTCTCAAGAAAAAGAACCATCTTTGTTAAATCAAATTTTATCTTTAAAAACAGATACTGAAAAATGAATTGTTGGCTATGTAACAAACATAATGCAAAAATGTCACAGAAATGATCTAAGATTGCTAACTTTTTTAATAAATTAATTTATCCATTTTTAGAGTAATGTTTCAGTAATCTGACAACCTCAATAATCAGATACAATTCTTTGGTTCCGTAAGTGTTGGTGTAGAGAGGTTCAACTATGTGTGTGTATGTACAGTAGAGTGTCGATTTTCCGAAAGTCAATCATCCGAAATGTCAATCATCCGAAAGAATTCCAGTCGGCAAATTTAAATTTCTGCTAGTGCTGTGATGCTGCAACACTCTCCCCCTCCCAGCCAACCTAAACTGTAGGTCTACTTTAATGTACTACTTCACATAAGGTCTGTATTTATAAGACATGTGATACAAATTATATACAGTACAGTTTTGTGTTTAATATATTTTTTCATAAAGATCAGTTACCTGAAAAATCAGTTATCCAAACAACCCCACTCCTGAATTGTTTCAGATAATCTATGCTCTACTGTATTTAATTTAAGAATATTTAAGTTTAAAAAACACTAAGACACATTACTAAAAATTAAAATTGTGTGGAGCACCAGTGATCGGCTATGAGATTTTATTAAAAAATAATTTTTGTTATTAATTATTATAAAAAGGCAAAATGCTTAATTTTTAGCATAGAGATGAGTTTCAAAAAAATTGTAAATGCCGAGAATAAAATTTTCAATAAATCTGACACCATTCAAAATATGACATGTGAGCCCTTCCCACTATCTCCCATCCCTTTAACTATTAACCATCAAATTTAATAGTATCAGTACTCCATATATAAAAAGTAACCCTAACAAGTTTAAAATTTTTTATTCATCCAGTCCTGAGATATAATGCAAAATATAATAGATGCCGACACATACATGGAGAATTTTGTAAGGATTTTTTTTTACATTTTTGAGTTTCTTGGTATCAAAATATCAAGAAATGCAAAAAAACTGGAAATCAAACTTTGACTGATCATTATTCTTTCCTTCTGTTATATTCTATAACAGGCAGGAAAATAAAAATACTGCTTTTAATGGCATATCTAAAAAAAAAAAAAAATTAAAACTCATTCGAGTACTTTCAAACTTAATTTATCATCAGGAGCACAATGAAATTTCTGTTGCTATGGAAGTACAAATTAATGTATATTTTCAAATCTATTTATTGTACAGGGTGAGATGAAATACCTGAAAGTTTTTAAATTTTAAATCACAGGACATAGCGACCATTTACAAAATGTTACTTTTAAAAAATAATAGTTATATGCATTTCACCCATTAAAAAATATGTAAAGCAATAAATATTTATGCTTTCCCCTGAAGTGTTATTTTATTTTAAAAACAGTCAGATGTTTCTGGTATATCCAGTATTTATTTATCTATTCTTTACTTAATGAGTTATTCTACCTGATATAATAATGATGTCATCATAACCGTAATGACGATTTGTGGTTTCACAATAACAGAACATTTCGGAACAACAGAATCCAGGAGCGAGTCATTAAGTTCTCAAAAGCACTTAAATGATTTTTAATTTTCTGTAATGTAAATTAAATTTGGTATTTTTAAATCTTCTTTCTAAAAATTATTTTATAAAACTCACTTTCCATTTATTCCCAAAACTTTTTTATCTGAAGATCTGTAAAATAAAGCAAAGCAATCTCCACCCAATCCAGTAAAATTTGGTTCGACAACAGCCGTAGCTGCTGCCATGGCAATGGCCGAATCAGCCGCATTTCCTCCAGCTTGTAGAATATCTATTTAAAAATAATTAATAAATTCAATCATATAACTTTCTAATTGATTTATTATATTTCTACAAATTAGTTTTACGATCATAACATTAAAAAAAAAATTGTTTATAATCAAAATATTTAAATTGACTAATTATACAAGTGTTAAAGCTACTAGCTACTTTACCAATCCCAATTTTGGAAACAATAGGAACATCACTGGACACGCAGGCTCGAGTTGCCAAAACTGGACTTCTTCGAGAAGCAAACTGGAGATCAGATAGCATTTTTTTATACTTAAAATTAACAAATTTTTCTACTTAATACATGCAATTTAAAATAGATCTACAGTTTCCTACATCTGAAGTTATCTAAATTTACTTCTTAACTTTGGAATCGTTTTAATTAATCAATATCGACATTAAGAATACCTTATCTTATCTAATTGTAACATATTCAGTGTTGATACAGTACAATTCTAACGTATTCATTATTGATAATAAATTTAAAACGTGCAACTCGAACACATTTTCCAAACGAAATTTGGGAGGAAACATGTGGAAACCACGTGAATAATCGCTTAACGCCATCTACCGATCGATGCTGATTTAGTTTTCAGTATTTTCAATTATGAAAGCATTTCTCTTTCAATAATTTTTTATTTTTGTTTTATTTTAATTTCAATATATTTTAAGCAAACAAATAAATTAGCAAACGAACGCCTTAATATATTAATAACATGTCCATTGTAATAACTTTTTTTTTTTTTTTAATAAACGTCAACATCTTTTGATAGGTTAAAAATGGATGGTGATGATGATAATAATAATAATATGGATTTGCAAAGTTTACCTGTTTGATCTGTATTTAACACATATTCTGCAAGGACGGGCGGGTGCCCCAGGCAGATCGGGGCATCCGGGGATCTCGAGGTCGAATCCGAGCGAGTAACGCCAGGAATGGGATGAATTGATGGCCGAGGCTGTTAAGGCGTCAGCTTATCACTTTGGGACACTCGTAAAAACCCCAAGTATTTTTCGGGAGTGGTTTGTCTGAATATGAGCTCATCAGCAGCGAGTGGATAAAACCACTGCTGAACACTGCTAGTTGGACGTGGGTTCGTGGGATCAACGAACTTTCCACGTGGACTTTTCCGAGTTTTCTTTGTGTGTATAACATAACAGGGGCCAGATAAACAGGGCTATGCTAGCTCTATGGAATATACGCCTTTCGGCAGACCGTCCGAGTGTAGCGTTGCCTTATTTCATTAATGCTGTCTCGGATATGTGGAGTCCCGTACAGTACTTTGCCACCCAGCCGCCCCACTGTAGGCTTGGCCGAACCCATCATGGGTATGATTAAAAAGGCTCTCTTATAAGTTAGTGTCTACCGAGCAAAAAGAGTCAAAAATGAAATATAGTCTACATATATACTTTGAACTTCATACTTCTTCAACCTTTTATAATCAGTATAATCAGTGCAAATTCCGAAACTATTTTTTAAAAAAAAGACTTCAACAACATCCTTGAATAAAACTATATGCAAATGAAATTTTATAATCTGTTTAACTTAATCCAGAGGAACTATTATGACTACAGAAACAATTCTTTGAAAGCTTTAACTGCTCTAAACGAATATATGACCACATAGCTGCATACATAATGAATTTAGAAATTATATAATAAAATAAATGCAATAAACTGAAATTTATCAGATTTAAGAAACTATGATATTTGAATTAGTAAATTTATGAGAAAAATTAGTAAATTTAATTCTTTATAAGACAAGACGAACAAAAAAAGAAAATGTTAGTTAAGGTAAATGTACAAGGTTCGTTCAACATCGAACGAAAGACTGTCCAATCGTAGAGGAGAAGGTGGTATTATGGAACCCCATTTTCATTATAGTGAATTGTAAACAAGGTATCATAACTACACCCACATTTTTTGTACGTAACGTACTGGTTGCTATTAAACTAAATGTTACTAATTGGATTTTTCGCTAGTGTAACTATAAGTATGGTTTTTGAAGGCTTCTGTACAAAAAGTCAGAAAGTAGGTTTAGGGAAAACATGGTGGTAATATGGAACCTTAATGTATGTTTTCAAAAAATGCTATCCAAAAACAAATAGGAAAATACAAAGAATGTTAAATAATTACAAAATTATTTACTCCAATGCATTTTAACGCAAAAATGATTTAATAATAATAATAATACAGAAATGTACAAAGAAGCTAATCATTTACAATAATCACAAATATAATGCTCCTATAGTGTTAAATAACTATTTTTACTTTTTTCATTTTCCTTCTATTTTTTCATTCATCTACCACATACTTTTACAAAAGTTAGACGGGTTCCATATTAAAAGCACCAATGGGATCCGTATTTCACGCATCGCCATCTTGAATTAACTTATGTCTGTCGAGACCAAATTTTAAAAAACGTGAACATCACACAGATTAACATGTACCCCTAAGTCTCTGGAACGGAATACATGCACCAGTGAACTCACAACTACACGATTTATATTTTAAAAATAATTAAATTCACTTAGCATTCAAAACTTTTGAATTTCGAAAAACACAAATACTGTATGCTAATTCACTAAGGACAACCTTTTATCTGAAGTGAAACGGGTTTTCCCCTTGCTATGGATGTCTGCCTAGTGCAGTTCAGCCACAATCCGCTACAGTTCGCTTTTATTATCAGTTTTAAATGGAGGAGTTCCATAATATCTGCAGGGTTCCATAATACCACCTTTTCCCTATATTAATAAACAATCGTCTTTCTCGAGAACCGATCTGATCCAATTTCACCTGGTAACAAAGAAAGACCAATCGGGGACCGAGAAAGGGATTAATAACCAATAAAGTGACGATTTGCGAGACCAAAAGATATTTAAGCTCAGTCCATAAGGACACTTCGTTCTTTGACGTGGCGTCCCACCGGGCTATGTCCCTCGCTGGGGTGTTTCCCGCAAGGTTCCATCTTCATCCTTTGCTGATGAATCCTTCGAAAGTTATAGACCTTCGTTGAGAGAAACTTCGGACATTCCAATCTGCATTCGTCGGACATCGTTTCCAATCTGCATTCGTCGCTTGACTTTCCTCTTCTTCTTTTGAAGACTACGCGCCGAAATCTACAAGGACTTCACCATTGACTTTCATTGTAAGTTAATTGTTTAATAAACGGGTTGTGTTGTTTATAAACGAGGCATCGATCTCTGACTCAACCGCTCCCACACGTCGTTGATTGTACCGCTCGGCAGTCCAGACGGCAATGGAGACGATAACGATATATATCCCATATAATGTTATTTCGTTTTGAAATATCTTTTCGTCCCCCACATTTCTAATGGGAAAAATTGCTTCGGATTTCGAACGATTCGAAGTTCGAACGGCCTCCTGGAATGAATTAGGCCTAAATTTCAAGTACGAGACAACATTGTGTACCACTAAATTGAAATAAATAATCAAACATTTTTTTGTAAATAAACTTTATTGTATTTAATTAAACAAATAAATAATGTTCTTTAAAAAATGGAATTCAAATTTGACTAAAACACAAAATATCCTATTTATTCGTCTTCGAATGACGATATATCGAGACACTCTCGTGAAGTTAAATGCGATGATTCTTGGATTTGAAAAATAAAATAACATGTTAATTTAATTATTTATAAAAAGCATTTTAAATTAATAGGGCATTAATTTTCACAAATGACATACGGACCAAAACTTTAATATGTTTTTAAGTATTTTTAATTTTATTTCAGAAGTTTACAAATGAATTTACATCATAATAGGTTATATAATTAAATGTTTACTCGCTCTTTATCTAATATATAATCGAGATGGGTTGATGATAATAATAATAATAAGCGCAGAGCCCAAACGGTTAGGAGTTGAAAGTTGAAATTTGGTACACAAATAGGGTACGTCACGAAAACGCACACTAAGAAGGGATTTTTCGAAATTTCCCCCCGGGGGGAGAGAGACAGGATTAAAACTTCTATATACATTATGGATACGAGCCCAAACGGTTAGGAGTTGAAAGCTGAAATTTGGTACACAGTTAGGGTACGTCACGAAAATGCACACTAAGAAGGGATTTTTCGAAATTCCTCCCCACGGGGGAGATGGACAGGATTAAGGCTTAACACTTCCATCAACAATGGAAGTGTTAAGTAACAATGGAAGTGCTAAGTAACAATGGAAGTGTTAAGTAACAATGGAAGTGTTAAGTAACAATGGAAGTGTTAAGTAACAATGGAAGTGTTAAGTAACAATGGAAGTGTTAAGTAACAATGGAAGTGTTAAGTAACAATGGAAGTGTTAAGTAACAATGGAAGTGTTAAGTAACAATGGAAGTGTTAAGTAACAATGGAAGTGTTAAGTAACAATGGAAGTGTTAAGTAACAATGGAAGTGTTAAGTAACAATGGAAGTGTTAAGTAACAATGGAAGTGTTAAGTAACAATGGAAGTGTTAAGTAACAATGGAAGTTTTAACTAACAATGGAAGTTTCAACAATGGAAGTGTTACGTAACAATGGAATTGTTAAGAGAAAGCGACGTGCAATACGCAGATGCAGTTTTTTTCGTTTTTGCGGGAAATCGAACATATTTTTAGACCCATCTAAAAATTCTCTAATTAGTCTGGAAACAAGGGGACCCAATTCTTGCATTCTGTGAAAACGGGTAAGGTTGACTGTAACGTAATAATCTTTATCTTAGTTATCGTTACTTTTGCCCGAGCAACGCCGGGCCCACCTGCTAGTATTATATATTTCATTCCAAAAGTTATGCTGTTATAATTAAATTTTACACACTTCTTCGCTTTTTATTTCCCAAATATAGACCTAGATTGTTCGTATGTAATGTCTGTAAAACACTTAATAATAAGTTTAAAATATTAAAAGTTATCCGATAATTATCGGATTAAAATTACATACTATGTATCCTAAAAAATTAATAGTTGAATGTTACGTTTTAGGTAATTATATGTAATTTCTAGTTTTATATATGTAAATGCTTTTAGGTAATTATATGTTATACGGTTGTAAATCATATGCAATGAATATTACCAATTTTTTATTTATATTAGTTGTCCTTTTGCTATTGATATCGAAAATATCTTGGTCACTAGTGAAATATCGTCGCGTCAGTGGCCACTTCCGTGATGACTCGAGGTTTAGATGTTGAAGTTGAGTCGTCATTATTATTGATAAAAACTTCTCTAAATTCAACAGGATGTAAACGTTTTATATGCAGTCGACCCCCCTCCCATAACATTGTTGATAATTCCGTTTTATATGAATTCCATGTTGTACGAGTCACTTAGATTTTACAAATACGTNAAATTATATGTTATTAAGAACTTTTCTTATTATAAAATCTGCTAGTGATCTTGCTATTCATAATAAAGTAATTTGTTACTAAGTGATCTAGCATTTTATCTGTCTTCTCATAATAAAAAGCAATAGCTTTGAAAACATCAAAGTCCAAATAAAGAACAAAAATGATTCCAATCAAATGAGATTTATTATGTTTTGCATATAAATGCTGCCAGT